ACCGGCCACCGGCCGGCAGGCGTTCACGTCGACAAATTCCTGTCAAAATTGGTCGGAATGACTAAATTGGTATAAAAACAAAAGGTTTAGGACTGAATTGGCACCAATTTAAAAGGTTTAGGACTTAATTGGCACCAAAAAAAGGTTTAGGACTAAATTGGCACCAATGCAAAAGGTTTAGGACTGAATTGGCATCAAAAAAAGGTTTAGGACTAAATTGGCACTAATGCAAAAGGTTTAGGACTTTTTTTAGCACTTTTCCCTAATTTTTTTCCCCTTTTCTAAATTAAATGGATAAAAAGATGAACAGGTTAACTCATCTTTTTTTTTTTTTAAATCCAACTCGGTGTATAATATTTCACTTCGTCAGATAACGATTGATTTTTTATTTGAGCAAACGGAAAGATTAATTACATTGAACATTTACCAATAGTTCATGAATTGCATTGAACAAATCAAAAGTTCACGGATGACACTACATATCAGACCAAAATTCAGGAATCATTTGTGTCATATTCCCTTCATTCTTTAACCCTTGCATTCATTTGCGTCAACTTTTCTTGTTTCGAACTCATTAATCACATTTTAGGGCTTCTTCCGAAAAAGAAAATTACCAAAAATGAAAGAAAATTAAGGTAACATAACAAACAATTTCGTATATTCTAAGTAGATGGGTTTGGGAATCCAGACCAGACGATGAGGTTGGCTAATCGAACTTGATTGCTGAGTCCTGATTGATTCTTGATTGGCTCTAGCCCGCATTGGATAGCCCAAGCAAACTTGTAAAAAGCTTTGATCGGGTTGATATTATATAGGGCGAGGTGCAATATTTTAACGGATCTAAGATAAAAAAATCACACGACGTAATTAATCAAGAAATACGCCATCTTGCCAGGTTTTAACATGGCACTCAAACAAATGGTAGGAAAGAATCTCCAATGTCTTAATATGGTGGCGGCGATCGGAGGAGCCAACGGTGGCCACAACGGAGCACCGGCAGCGATGGACGAGCGAAGTTGGAAGTGAAACTGACCGAAGCTGCGCCGTGGGAAGCGTCGGTAAATCGATTTCAGTTTATCAGGCAACATAAGTCCACACCTTATACGAACGGAGAACCAAAGAACGGGTTTGCTTCGTCGGCATACGACAAGGATAAAATGCCTACTTTACAACAAGCTGAGAACAAGTAGGCGCTTTCAACACCAATTTTTTGCATTGAAAATAAGGGTCATCAAAACCCTAGAGACAAACAATGGTTAACGAGAGGACAGAGAGAATCTTTAAGTGATTTCGGTATTGTTTTGATGTCGTGATTGTCCTGTTTGTGTTTCTTATTGAATGTGTGAAAGAAAACAGGGACGATGCCATATTCGAAGGTCGCAGCTCGTGCAGTGTCCCGCAATAATTCTTACGTGCAGACAAAATTATAATAAGGTACAAACGAGACAGATATTTTTCCGATCTTATTGCACTCGAGCTTCTTTCGATCAAGAAAACGCTCACGAGAGAGAGAGAGAGAGTATCGACCGATGCTTTGGTTGTATGTGAACACGAGCACTTGTTGTCAATAGCCAAGAGCTCTTTTGCCCTTCCTTCAGGCAATTAGCTTTGTTAAAAAAAACCCTCACGGAATTGACATCATTAGATCGATAATGTCAACGCGATGCTGCTCGTGTACGAAGCGCCTTCCCAACGGTGGGGAAAAACCTCACGCGAGAGATCTTCATGAACCGTCCTCGGGTTTACGTAAGCACGGCGAAGCCCTCACGACTCGGGTGTCTCGATCATGTGTAGAAGACATTGTGCAAAATCAATGACATTTGCGTCGACCCTCTTTCTTTCTTTTCTTTTCATTTTTTTTTTTTTGGGTTTTCTTGATTTTGCTGGGGTAGTGAAAGTGATGTGTTCTTGAAATAAAATAAAATAAAAGTACGTTAGCCTTGAAGGAGCCAGTACATGAATGAAAATAATGAAAATTCAATGATTGAAGGCTCGATTTCCCCCCCACCCACGTCACTCGTGTTTCCGTTTATTCATCGAGGAAATACACACACGATGTCAAAAAAAAAATATATACAAATTTATCATTATGTCCATAATAAAAAAGATGATTTTCCGATTGCGTATCCTTTGAGGAATCCTAATTTTATAATCAATATTCTTTCTGTCAGCCACAAAAGTAGGACCACCCCATCCCCAATTTCTATATCGTTTCCCGTCCTAATTTTTAAATCAATATATATATATATATATATATATATATATATTCTGGTGTGGAAGGGGATTAAGGCATCTGAATATAAGTATTATGTCTCTAATTTCTTTAATGAATTTATCGGGGCACGGGTGAGACCCATTTCTATAAATAGGTACCTATACTTTTATTTAGATTAACCTAAACGTTCGGCTATCTTTATCGATGAACTAGATGTAAATTCACACGGTGACAATGAGCAACAACTTGAGGGTCGCTTTGAAATGTTGGGGCTTGCGCTATTTAGATTCTTCATCCACAAGCTTTTCTAGATCGAGGGTCTTCCGTCGTCCCCCACGAAATGACCTACCTGAGAAAGAAAGGGCATCGAATCTGCGTTCGTCCCGATCATGCACAGCAAATGTTACGGAAATGGTATGAAAAGCAGCTGCATTTTGCTTCCGTTTCAAACTTTCCCTCACTCAGTTTTGCTCAACACCTTCTTACGAAATTCATGGTTCTCGATCTTCCAAGTTGTTGACACGATGATATACACCATGCAAGCATCTTGCTAATTGCAGACATGAGTGAGAGGAAGAAAACTGTTTTGGAAGTGTCTGGTGGGAGGTGAGAGACGGACATGAGTGCCATTGCACAGATCAAACTAATGTTCCTTTCAATTAAATTTAGGGTTAATACCACGAAAATCCTAAATTGGTACGCCGGTGATAAATTTACCCCAAATTAATTATTTGACCACCAAAACACTCAATCCGGTATAATTGTGACAACTTTACCCATCAAAAACCTCATACTTATACATTTGTGACAAATTTATTCTCTGTTAGTTTCTGTTAAATTAGATTATTACCGCGAAAAATCACAGATCGGCACACCTGCGATAAACGGAGGGTAAAACCCTAAACTGATACACCCATTAACTGCCATGGGTCATTCAACTCAGCAATTTGACGGTAAAATTTAACGGAAACTTACGGAGAGTAAAATTGTCATTGCTGTACCAATTTGGGTTTTTTCATAGTCAAAAAATTAGTTTTTGGTAAATTTGTTATAAGCAGACCAGTTTGTGATTTTTGGTGATATTTACCCTTAAGTATATGATGCACAATCCAATTGTTGATTGCACCGAGTTTTCGTGATCGGGTTAACCCTAGAGCGGACGCGTCTTCACGTATGCATCGATTGCCCGTACATGAAGAGAGAGGGAGGGAGGGAGGGATAAGTGTGTTTGTCTTCTTCGTTCATTATCTCAGTCTCGAATCACCATATTTCACACGTTCTTTTGCATAAAGACTGGATAGAGGAATCTCTAGTGAGTATCTGGAAATGGGGAATTCTCTTGCCCGGACTCGGGTCCAAGGCACCGGTGCGTTGGCCTCACAAGCGGATTCCTACAAGATCAACGATTGTGATTCGCTGGATCGACGCCGGCATTCCCCCTCTCGAAAGTAGTCGTGCTCAGCATCGGACAAATTAAGTTTCCTTGATTCTCTGCTTTTCGTTCCTGCCCTGTACATCCCCAGTCAAAAAGGGTGTCCCTTATCGGTTGGTCGGCCTAAGTGTAGCCTCCGTATCTTGAATCATCATCATCCCTCACGAATAAGACCCGAATGAGATCTACGAAAAGAGACTGCACGTACGTACACCGACGTCGTCAACCCAAAGCTCTCGTAGTCGCCTTCCGACTGCACTTTGTATTACATCAAACTCTGTCTCGCCTTCTCATGGATCGCGCCCTGCTTTTCGAGGATGAATCCGAAAAGGAGAGATTTTTCCTTTTTTAAAGTCAAAATGGAAAACGTGATGGATTGAAGAAGTGGGCAGCATCGAGTGCATTACATCACCAAAGGGGAAGTATAATTTAAACAAAAAAATTGCAGAAGAATCTCTGCTTTTCGCACGCAATGATGGAACTTTCCCGGCGATCTTTTTCCCTCCAAGTAACTTTCCTAAGCGATCATGATTCGCAAGAGTTACCCGAAGCGCTCAAAGAGTAAAAAAGGGCAGAGAGAGAGATAGCCCTGGAAATTTCATGGCAAAAGTTGTTGATTAGCTTACGTAAGGAAGCATTTCTTTCACGAGCTATAGTTTTACGAGGATCGATGAACATTGATCAGTAACATTCGTTTCCCTTCCGGTTTGGTTCCGACCCGTCGTTTACGTGCAAACTCTCTTTTCATCCCATTTCATTCCCTGAATTTCGTCTGGCATGTGCACTGCGCTCCAAACGTCTTAAAGCGGATGTGACGGATTGAATTCGACGCATTTGTAACCATCTCGATTGTTGGGTGTGTAGTTGTCTATACGGCATAGCTTATGTTTCGCATCTATTTACAGTTTTAGTAGGTGTGCAAAGAGGGGAAAAGGCAGAGCGAAGAAGCCAGCAAGATATTCCCAACTGGAAATGGGAATTCTGCCCTTTGACCAATCAGGTTTTACTTGAATGATGGCAAGGGGTTGGCTCAGAATGCGTAGACACTGCACTTGGTCTGTGCTTGCTTTTAACACTGTGTCTGTGCAGATTTGTCAAAGTCTATAAAACGCCATTAATATCATGATTCAAACTTAGGTCACAAGCATAAGCATCTTTCAATCTCCTCTGCAAAAGAACATTAGAATAATAAGTATCATTTTGGATCAGGACCCACCAGCGCAAGCTGACATTTAATCCCCAGGCCCCCTCAACGGAACACTTTGCAAAGAAATGTCTATTTACCCTGATTCTCACGTTCCACAGCATTCCAAGAAAGAGATGATATCTTTAGCCAAATCCTTTCTTTTTCTCCATTTTTAACTATAGGAGGGAGAAAGGAGGCAAATTTAAATGGAAAACCAAGAAAGTTTTGTGCCCGTTTTGACTGCGACTCTCGCTATCGTCTGAAGGGGCTCCTCATGGTGTTAAATTCAACTCCCTTTCACAGCTGCTGCTTCAGTTTCTCTCTCTCTCTCTCTCTCTCTCTCGCCCTCTCTTTTTCTTCTCTGCTCTGTTTGTCGGTGCTCACATCTTTTTCTATCACACCCCCACTGAAATTCTGCGAGAAGCCGCCTCATCTGGTGCCGCCTGACATTTCACCTAGAAGTTACAAAACTTTGTTGTTACTATTTTAGGAAAGATTTTGAGGAAACACACGCAGAGAGAGAGAGAGAGAGAGAGAGAGATAGAATCTAATCTCTGAATGGGGAGGCATTCTTGCTGTTTCAAGCAGAAACTCAGAAAAGGGTTATGGTCACCTGAAGAGGATGAGAAGCTTTTGAGGCATATCACTCAGTATGGCCATGGCTGTTGGAGCTCTGTTCCAAAGCAAGCCGGTACATTGAGCTCCTTCCGCTGCTTTTACACTTTTGAAAAGTCGAGCTTTTGGGTCAACTGTGCAGTTGCAAAACAAATGAATCTTGATGAAATTATTTGCAAAGTCGCTAGCTTTATTATCTCTTGTAATTATTTCAATGCGTTGGAATTGGCAGGTCTACAGAGATGTGGCAAGAGCTGCAGATTGAGGTGGATTAATTACTTGAGGCCTGATTTGAAAAGAGGGGCATTCTCACAAGAGGAAGAGCAGCTCATTGTTGAGCTCCACGCTGTTCTTGGGAACAAGTCCTGCTCTTTTCCTGATTAACCATTTCGCCCTTTCTTTTTTCTTGTTCAATCTCTCTTTTTGGTTGGTTTTTACTGATTCTTTTGCGGGTAATTCACAGGTGGTCGCAGATTGCAGCACGATTGCCAGGCAGAACAGACAATGAGATAAAGAACCTGTGGAATTCTTGCCTGAAGAAAAAGCTCAGGCAGAGAGGCATTGACCCTGTGACCCACAAGCCTCTCTCTGAGGTGGAAAACAGTGATGACAAAGACGCGATATCAGGGCAGACCCAAGATAAGGTCTCTCGAGGGTCAGCTGAATTGCTGAGCCAGCTCAATCCACAAATCTCAAGCTCCAACACGGCAAGAAGCAGTAAAAACAGCAACTTGATGACGCCCACATTGAGCAAGGACACAGTTGCAGATGGGTTTGTGAGCAATCACCAAGAGAACTCAATGATGAACAGTTGCAGCTCAGACTTTGTTGACAATTTCTCTCTGCAACAATTGAACTTCTCATCAAGTGATTCCAGATTTTCTAACCTCTGGTTCACCCAAACGGGCAAAGCACTTGGAAACACCATCTTTCCCGACTTCAATTCCAACGTATCATCTACCATTTCTCCTCCTTCAACCAACTCCTTTATCTCTACTGCTTCAATGGGCTTCAACTACAAGCCATCTGATGCTGTTCCTTCGGCGAATTCGACTTCAAGCGCTAGCACAGGAACTGCAGATATGCACAACAGTGGCTCCTACTTCGGGAACAGCCTAGTTTCTTGGGGATTATTAGCAGATTGTGGCTCACCAGACAAGGAGGGATCGACCTCAATCCTTCCATTTGAAGCTCATCAACCCGGAGGCTTCAAGTGGGGTGCCGAATATCTCCAGAACCCTCTGTTCATGGCAGCCGCGCTGCAGAATCAAGCCCAGCAGCAATCCAATTTGTACAATCAGATAAAGCCAGAGACCCAGTTTGTTCCAGACGGTTCAAGTTCTTCCGTATGGGATCATCTTCCGGGACACGAATCCTTGGACAATTCTTCAGATACTTGCTTTAAGGATATCCAGAGATTAACGGCGCTGTTCGGACACATTTAGCTAGAGAATTATGTTAGGTTGATGAAGCCTCACTATTGAAGCAAGAGGGGATCATTTGAAGACTGGCTATTTGATTGGTGGTGACTTGAAAGTTTGCAGATTGTTATTTATTACAGGTGTGGACTATAATTTTTTCCCCTTTTCCCTCTTTCAATGTACATAGTTCTAATACAAACATTTGCATCCTTTGTCTTTGACCCCTATATGCTTTAAGATTCGGAGGCCTTGCTCTGTTTCGGCTTCATTGCTGTTGAAAACAGGACAATAGATGTAGCATTATTCCTGGGTTTTTGAATTTATGGTGTTTTGCATCTGCTTGACTGCTTGTGCCTCAGTCATCATCGGAGCCAAATAAAAAGTGGAAGAGGTTCTTCATTTCATGTCATTTGCTGACCTTTTTATCGTTATCCCTATGTTATTTCATTTTTGCTCTCTTTGGGGTGACATCAACAGCAATGCTAATTTCCCTGCAAGGATTTCCATCCAAGCCCATGCTCTGTATCATTATAGAAACTGTAAATTAAAATCGATGAACTTAAATAATTTATCGACCGTGCAGAATTTCACAGTAATAAGAAGAAACAAATAAGAGCGCGGCAATTTCACTAGTTTGACATCAAGCTAGAAAGTGATTTTTTTGTTTTAACATGTTAGTTAATTAACTTAGCACCCTTTTCAATAAATAGTATCTGTACTTAATTTCTCTGCTTAAGCACACTTTTTTTTTTTTTTGCCAAGAAAGAGAATAATTAAGCAAAAGAAATGGCTGTCTACCACTATTCTATCACTGTCTCCATGGGACAGTAGACCTTATCAACCTTTATCACAGCATTGTCACTTTCCATCCCTCCACTTTCAGAGACGAATTCTCAAGAAACCCGGTCGTCCTTTTGGCTCGCCTCTGATCCAGCATTCAATTCGCCGATAAGTTCGTGGACCACGAGTAAGATTTATAATGAACTGATTATGCTGAATCATCCGATAAAAAAAAGCGGCGGCATAACTCCAGAAATCAATGCTGTGTGTTCATCAGTTCATGGATATGTCTGTGCGTGCGTGTATGTCGGCTTGCTGCTTACGCACGCGAAGGCTCCTGCAGACGACGAGAGGTAAACGACGAGCAAAAGGAGTCGAGGTTGCCGCCCGTACGAGGGAAGGTAGAGATGCTCTCTTGCTTTCTTGAATCTTTATGAGTCCGTACGTGGAGATAGCGACCTCCATTTACGTGAGATGAGGACCATATGTGACCTGTACCAGTCAAGAAGCACCGACATCAACGTTATTCATCGTCAAGAAGCAACCACAGAAGAAGATGAAGGAAAAAAATCAGCAGAGGTAGAGTAGAAGGTCGCCCGTATGAAGAAAAATGCTCTCAGTCCATACTGATCGACTTCATTCGCAACTCAAAGTAGATGGCTAAAGAACCGGTGATGCTCTATTACGGAAACATACACACTCGTCGAAAGATCTACGAGCGTCGACCGTACGCCGCCGAAACGAAGAGATAATCACGACCATACACTTGGCACCCCTTCTCTACTCAGCATCAGATGCAAGTGCGGAATATTTTAAGCTGACTCTTTTGTCATCACCTGGATTCTGAGCACACAGTATGATATCCATCTTGACACGATTTCAGATTAACTACAGTTTAACTAACGCAAAATCTTTCTTTAATCCACAAAGTTTGAAAGAACAGATTCGAAGGAAGGGAGAGTGACAAATGCATGGAACGTGATGGGCGAGCGAGACTGAGAGGCTGACTGCGAGAAAGCAACCTCCCTCACATAATCTTTGGATTCTTTGCCGAGCTCGAACATGACAAAACTTGGGTTTGGTTTTGTCAAAATGAAGCAGCTAATCACACTTCGCCGGTTGAATCTTCAGCCATAAACTACCTTGGAAATAACATTTGAAAGAACCCCAACTTGCATCGAGGACCCACTTCAACATCTGACTCGTGAACAGCTGCTCATTAACTCCTACTCCCCCCAATTGCCTATGCAAATAGAAGACAGTGAGCCACATTACAACCATTGCCCGTTTTGCCAAGACAGCTCTTTTCTCGAATCACAGAGTCAAATGGATCGTGTCCCTCGAATGGTTTCTCGATTCTGACAAGGATGGAGAGTCGCATGAGTTCAAAACCCGTCATTCTGTTCCTGTCAATATGATGGTGGTAATGGGCCAAAATTTTTGCAGCCCAATACAAATCACATTCTCAGGTCCTGGCCTAGTTACAATCATCTGGGCAGCAGCAGCAGCAGCAACAGCAAAAGAGAATCAGCAATTACAATCTTCCATTGTTGGATTGAAATGTAACAGATCTCGACTGTTCAACCGATCTCAATCTGGACGGTTGCGACTTCTTTGCTTTCCGATCCAACGGTTAGAAACACGGGAGGCGCGGTGCGTCCTGCGGACCATAAACTCGCTCGTTGAGTTCTTTTCTTGATTTAGCTAGCCACTTCCTAAAATCACCCATGTGAACATTAATCTTGGAAAGCAATATAGGCTGTAGTCATACTTTAGAATCTCCTCTTACTTTTTTACCTTCGTAATTTGTACTCTTGATTCTTCTTCAAAACATGCTGAAGGCTATATTTGTTTGACGGAAAATGAATTTTGGAAACTTATTTTCAAAGAAAATAATTTCGTTATTCTATGTTTGACCGTATTTTGCAAATAATAGAAAATTTTGTTTTATGATTTTTGTTAAAGGAAAATTATGAAACACACATTTGAGAAAAAGTCTAGAATACAACATCAGATGAGTTAGGGCATCGAGGGCTCGTGCTCCCGCTGCGTTGGATCTTGACTCGAGTGCCAGGGTCCTGAGCCCGGGTGCCAATGATCTGAGCCCATCCTCGAGGGATGGGAGCTCAGTCGTAGGGGACCTAGGCGCGAATTCTAGGATCTCGTCTTATTTAATGTTTTACGCCTATCTCGTGTTAGGTAATTGAACGATTACTTCAAAACAAATGCTTGAAGTTTGGCTTATTTCCACATAGCGCCGTCCTTGTTCCTACGTGTTTTGTTTATATGGTTGAGCATTTCAAGGAATGCCCGTTTTTTTCTTTAGATATAATGACATGAATAGTTCATGAATTTTGGCTTGATGTGCAATGTGAATTAAACATGTACAAAAAGTTCAAGGATCTATTTCGCCAAAATTGCTCCCACGACGAAATATCTTTCACCAAAAATCATTTTTTGGCTTTTAATGAGAGGAGACATGTTTTGTGGCGATTCCAGATAAGAAATATCTAGGCGGACAAGAAATTGATAGCTTTACTTCGAACTTTGAACTGTATGTACAAACCGTGCCGAAATTTAATCGGGGGAAAATGTCAAATAAGGATCCAAAGTAGGTCTCTTTTCTTAAATAAGGACCTCAAGTGGATAATATTTCAATTAAGGACCCAAAGTGCCCAAACTAGTCTCAAATAAGGACCCAGCTCGCGGGGCGGCCAAATGTTCTCCGGCCGACGACCGTGAGACATTTTCCGGCACCGAAATATGGGCAATTTTGTCTTTTTCTTTTTTTCTTTTCTCTCTTCATCGTCGACGACGTCCACCGGCCTCAGTCGAGGGCGGCCTTCGCCGGCGTCAGGCGACGGTAGCCCTCGCCTGGGCTGGCAAGACCCGCCCTCGCCGGATCTGGCGAGGGCGAGGGAGGGTCTCACCCGCCCAGGCAAGGACGGCCGTCGCCCGACGCCGGCGAAGGCCGCCCTCGCCTGAGGCCGGCGGACGTCGCCCGCGATGAAGAGAGAAAAGACAAAAGGAAAAAGAAAAAAAAAGATAAAGATAAAGATAAAATTGCCCCTATTCCGATGCCGGAAAATGTCTCACGGTCGCCGGCCGGCGAGCTGGGTCCTTATTTGAGACTAGTTTGGGCACTTTGGGTCCTTAATTGAAATATTGTCTACTTAGGATCCTTATTTGAGAAAAGAGATCCACTTTGGGTCCTTATTTGACATTTTCCCTTTAATCGGCAATAAAGCTTGAGAATACAGCCACTTTCATAGCAACGCACTTACATAAGCTGAGCCAGAATGTAATCGACGATAAAGCTTGAGAACGTGCAAAGATGTAATATCGGGATTTAATTGACGATACAACTTCCAGGATAGAGATGCACGCCGGAATTTAATTGGCAACGCGAATCGGAAAGCTATAACTAAGTAAAAATAAAGTGCGGTACAGAAAAGTAAAGATAATTGAAAGATAACATTTGATTGATTTGTCGGGAGCCTCTCCGAAGAGTACGATGTGGCTATATAAAGCTTACAATCAACAAATTATCAATGGAGGTTACAAACGGTTACTACAAAAAAATAACTTCCTAGCTATTACGAGAAATTACAAAGAGAGGTTACGAAAGAAAGTTACAAACGGAAGTTATGAATGGTAACCAAACGACTATCGATGGTTACGTCGACGGTTGCATCCGAGATTATCGATTTCACTTTTGTCAATTCCTTCACGATGCCGATTCCTCAAGTCAAATTGGATATTTTTTTGGTGCAATTACACATCGAACCAAAAAGTTCATGAACAACATCGCACTTAGGTCAAAGTCTGAGAATCGCTTGTGTCATTTTCCCTTTTCTTCGTTTCCAATGTTAGATACGGTTTTTTTTTTCCGGCGGAGTGGGAACGAAATTCCAGAGCGAAATCGCCTAAACAACATTTCAATATTTCCCCACGAAATTCCAACACAAAAACAAAAAGCAAGAAACAAAGACATTCCTCGTATTCGGAAATCCCCTTTTGACTCGGTCCAATCCAGATCTCCAAAGTCATACGTTGGTACTTTCTTCCTCGCGAAGCTAAACCACTTCATCCCCAAAAATCCAAACACCGCATCGGCAACGACCAATCGCCGCTCGACACGTGGCTTCTCCCCCAATTGAATTACCCATTTCCTCCCCTAAAAAAGATTATCGGGAGGAATTTCGTATTTATAATTCCATCCCCCAAGCGACGGCATTTAAGCGCTTGCCGACACCTCGAGCGTCGCCACGTTACCAGCTGATCGGCCAATCGGAAGAAGAAGAAGATCTCGTGGGGCCCCCCACACCTTCTCCTTTTCGGCCCCGCAACTTATAAAATATTATAACATCATCGCCAAGATCGCGAAGAAAGTCCGATTTGGGGGGCGGTGGGGGCGGATAAATTAATCGCTAAAATTAAGACGATTTCTTCTGCGTGTTCGAACAGTCGCCACGACGACATGTTAACGTCGGGGGGGGGGGGGGGGGGCTGTAGCCTTGTGATTTGGGCAAAATTTTGGCCTCGTTGTCACCAATTCGGCGTTCGAAGAGGCTTTTTCGCTTTCCGTGATGGACCACGTCGATGGTAACTTCGGCATACCCGGAAGAT